GTTTCTGGGCAGCTATTTTACATGTATTTGAGACTATTGACAAGATCATTGGGACCTTTTCAAAACATTAAAGTTAGGTGAAGATTGGCTTTTGCTTTGGAGTTATAACCATTTTATGTTACAGTCACTTAGGATTGGTTGCTTTCTGCAGTTTTTTTTTTTTTTTTTTTGCTTTTTCACATAATACCCTTGTTTCAAAAGAGGCATTATCCCATTTCGTATCAAATTTGTCTTCTGCTACCCAGTATTGTTACTAAGAAGTACTACCTGGAATAGTTCTATATTTGACTGTAATTTCTTCCTGCTAGGTTTTTGATTGGTCCACTTCAGTATACCTTGAATCATCTGCTTAGATATCCTGTTGTCATTTTTTTGCACATACTGTGTTGAAGCAAGTATTTCTTTGCTGGTAGATTTGCTGAATTTTATGACCTCCTTGTTGATGAGGTCTGATGTAACATAGCTTTATGGGTCAGTGATATACATTTCAAGGATCAGAATGGAATGTTTGAGAAAGATTCTAAGTGTCACAGGTATATATACTCTATATGATCATAATCATATTAAATTTATATTGTGCCTTTTCTCCAGATATCCTGGAGAAAACTTCTAACTATTTTAGTAGTTTTTGGATTAGCAATTTAAATTAGATTTTTGTTTCTAACATAATAGCATAGTACAGTGGAAAAGAACAATGATTTTGGAGTCAAAGACCAAGTTTCAAATTTTGGTTCTACTACTTATAGTACCTGTGTTACCTTAGGCAAGTCACTTAAACTCTATGGGTCTTAATTTCCTCATCTTTAAAATGAGGGGTTTAGACCAGACTTTCTCTATGGTTCTTTCCTGCTTTAATTCTTGATCTTATAAACCTCACTCCTCCACATGTCAGTTGCACCCAGGAGTTCTAACTTCCTCCCTACTTCCCCCTCCTCTCACCCTGTAGGACCAGTAGCCTTTTTCAAGCACTAGATCCCCCAGGCCATACCTAGTATAAGGTCCCTAGCTCCCTTCAAAGACCATCTCTCTTTACTCATAGGAAAGTTCATCATTGGAATCCCACCACCCAAGTAAGGCCTCCTTCCTTCCCCTTCCCCACCTCCATCCCTGCCCTCAGTTCATTTTTTACTATCTCGTTCCCTTTTCTCTTTCTGAGACCACTGAGGCCACCTTTCTCTCATTGCTAGCCCTTAATTTGACCCTGGCACGTCACATCCTTCTCTTTGTTCCTCTATTCTCCTCCACTGCTTACATGTACCCTCTCATGTTATAATAGAGTTCCACTGATTTACCTATGGGCAAGATGTCTCCAGGTTCTGTCCATAGTGCATGCACCCTGTCTATCGCTTTTCACTGCTGTCTCCCAGATTTCTGCCTTTATCTTGTGTCCTTAGGTACATTTAGAAAAAAGTCTCTTTGCTGTCACTGTTGCTCTTGCTATCCTTGTCTGCTGCATTTATTCATTCCTGCATTTCTTTTCTTTGGGATGTTCAAGAAGTAAACAATCTCTTCATTTCTAGTTTTCTTTCCAAAATATTTCAAACTTCTCTTTGTTATTGAGTGACCATCTTTGCTCATGTATTGGTTAAATTCAGATTTATAAGGTAGGTCCCCCTTGGACTACATTCTGAACTCAATTGCTCTTCAGAACACATTATTCCATTTCCTCCTATGTTTTCTAGTGGGTGCATAATAGTCTTGTGTTATGCGAATGTCCTTTCCTTTGTATTTGAAGTTCTTTCTTCTTATTGCTTATAGAACTTATTTCTCAGTTGAATTATATTAAACAACTGTATGTCTTAGAGTTTTACAGCCTTGAGTTTTCTGGAGGCAATCTGTAAATTTTTTCAGTTGTTACTTGTTAAAATTTGCTTAAGCTTCACATAAGACTGGAACTTGTCAACTTAGATATTATGGCTCATTAGTAATTTAAGTCATTGTCTTTGTACTTAGATTTTTAATCCTGTCTTTTAAACTTCCTCTTAATTTTTGAATTTTCAAGTTTGAGTTTTGTTCTGTTTTCCTACAATATGAGTCAGGTGTTTTGCAATGTGTCAGGTTTTCAGAGAAGCTACCATCTTCTGTCTGAGAAGCTGGTGCTGTATTTTTTGTTCTTTGAGCAAATCCTTCCTTTTTTTTTTTTTTTTTTTTTTTTTTGCTCTTTGGTGAGGTAATCAGGGTTAAGTGACTTGCCCAGGGTCACACAGCTAGTAAGTGTCAAGTGTTTGGTCTGAGGCTGGATTTGAACTCAGGTCCTCCAGACTCCAGGGCCGGTGCTCTATCCACTGTACCACCTAGCTGCCCCATGAGCAAAGCCTTTAACTTGAATAGGTTAGGAATGTTATCAAAAGATATTGAGATAATCTATCAAGATCTGCTGTATGTTTTTGATTGTCAGACATGCAGTAGATTTTGAACCATATACTAGTAATAATTCTGAGCAAGATTGAACTTGTATACTTGACCATCTCACAAGGGGAACCACATATGGAGCCACAGATTTTCATTGGCATTAGATTTGAAAACTCTTTAGTTTTGCATATTAGGTAGTGTGATGTCAAATTATTGGTTGACAGATTTAAAAGAGACAAAAAGAATCTTGGCTAGCATGTCTCTCAGAGATGATCCTATAATGTGTCCTGCCAATATGGCATGGTACTCTTAATCACATTGGAGTTTTCTAAGACAATTTGTCTTAATTTCAATATAGTTCAGGACTAGGGGGCAGCTCGGTGGCGCAGTGGATAGAGCACCGGCCCTGGAGTAGGAGGACCTGAGTTCAAATGCGACCTCAGACACATAACACTCACTAGCTGTGTGATCCTGGGCAAGTCACTTAACCCCAATTGCCTAAAAACCAAAACCAAATATATATATATATATATATACACATATGGTTCAGTACTTAAGGTTGGCGCAGATTTTAAGTAGAACTTTTTGAATAGTTTCATTAATGTACCTAAAGGCCATACACATAACTGGTTGATAAGATGGAATTCTTTTCACTAGAACACAGCCAGTCCACAAGAATTAAATTACCCTGGAGCACAAGATGAATGATAATATGATTGTCACGAAATATGTTGATTAGTTAGTATCACAGCCCTTTTTATTTAATAGAATAATTATAAGCAGATGATTAAAACAAATAATAAAAAGTATCTTGAAGTGTAATTTCACAGGCTATTGGATTGTAGTGAAAAGGGCACTGGTCTAGGAACTAAGACCTGGTTGTTCTTGGTGTTGCTCCTTAACTGGCTATGTGACTATGGACAAGTCACTTAATCTCTGAATCTCAATCACTTTGTTGTAAAATGGGAGAAATGATATCAGCTACATCTACTTCACAGGGTTTTGTTTTTTAATGTCAAATGAAATGTGAAGTGTTTTTAAAAAACATAAAATTCCTTATAAATATTAGGTAGCATAATACAAAATGGCTTTGGGATTCTGTAGAACTAGGGTCTAGTCCTGCATTTCCTGCTAATTTAATTTCATGTCTTTAATTTTTCTGAGCCTTAGATTGCTTATCTGTAAAATTAAGGGATTAGAATAAATTATCTGTTCCTGCTCAGAGATTCTGTAATTGTGTTTTAATAGTACCAATAAGTGATGATAATATAACCAGAATTTATGTAGCCCTTTAATATTTTTAAAACACTTTTCAAGCATCTCATTTGATTCTTACAGCAACCATCCCCATTTTATAGATAAGGAAACTGAAGTATAGTAAGGTTAAAGTGAAATGTCTTAACCCCCACCCCCTTTTTTTTTTATCATCTCAGACCCCTTTGGTAGTTTGGTGAACCTTATGTATTGCCTCTCAGAATATAGTTTTTAAATGAGTAAAGTAAATAGGATTCCAAAGAAAATCATTATTAGTGATATCTGCTTAGGGAGATCATCTAATATTAAAGTGGTGGCTGTCAGTTAAGTGGATATTAATGGGAGATTTCAGTTCTTGCTAATGTATACCTAAAATCTGTGTAAAAAAATTGAATAGATTACCTTTAAAAATGTCTCATAAATTGGCATCACCTAGAGTGACTGCTCACTTTGTTTTTGCCAGCCCAAGTGCTATATAAAAATCTTAAGGCATAAGGAGGTGGTCATTTGAATGTGTGGTTAGATTTGGAGCTAGAAGACTTTCGTAGGTTTCATCTTTGGCTCTGCCACTTACTCGTTCAGCATCTCTACGCCTCATTTTCCTTATCTTTAAAATGTGAAGATTTGGACTAAATCATCCCTACCAGTCCTTTTTAGCTACGAATCTAAGATACTGTGAACAGATGTCCAATCTATTGGAATAGAAGAGCTGTAGCTAGAAACATGCCCCACATGTAGGTTCTGTAGAAAAAGAATTAAAGGTAAGTTTGTGGGTAGCATGAAAAGAATTGCTTGTTGTCCATCTCTCTTTTCAGCTCCATCAGGTTTGAAGAATATTTCATAACATCAAATTCTATTACAGTACTGTTCTAGAATTCTGTAACAAAAAAACGTTTCCTAGACACAGTCTGTATGCCCTGCCTATTTTAAGAAATCAAAGGTATTCCAAATGGCAAAAAAGAATTTGGACCATCCCTTGGAGCTCATTGTAATAGGATTTTAACATGTACAATACACATACCATATGTTATCTGTGGCTGTGTGAGTTAGCAGGGAATAGTAATTTAAGTATACCATTATGTTTGATCAATCATGAATCATTTTTGCAAAGGTTGTGTTTCAAATAAAACAATATAAAATTAAATCAAAGAAGATGAAATCTATGAGTTTCATTCTGTTGGCTTTCTTTGTTTCCTGAAGAACACATACTAAAAGCTATTGCATTTTCATACATCAGTACTTTGAAAATTGGTGAAATGTACTTAACTTGCTTGGAATTGATGGAATTGAAGCACTAGGGACAGTTTTTAAACCTCTGGGATTATTAGTTATTGGCACTGGGACAGGAAATGTTGTGTAAGAGTTATATTAACCTATTTACTTCTTTCTAATAGGAAAGTAAGAGATATTTCAAGCGTAGTGAACTTGCCAAAAAAGAAGAGGAGGCTTACTTTGAAAGATGTGGCTACAAGGTATGAATTACTATTTTTTTTTGTCCAGACTTCTGGTTTCATCATGAAGGGACCTCCCATTGAGGAATCTCCCTCTAGCAGTGCATATCAGAACTATTATGCAACTTGCATAACCTTAAAGAGTTATGTTACATTGTATATTTATGAGTTTTTAAATGTGTATGGATATTGTTAAAATGACAATAAATTGTTGTTCTCTGTTCAATTTGTCATTGTTATACATTAGCCTATAAATGAGAAGCCAACTGGAGAGGTATGAGTTTTTGGTGTATGTTTTTTTTTTTTTAAAGCGTTTTTAAATGCAGGAAGAACATGCATGATATTTGGCTTTGGAATTTGTGTTATGGTTTGGCTTTTTGTGAATAGCATGAAATGGCTTGAGATCAAAGCTTGAATTTTCTTTTTAAAATTTTGCCTTTCTTTCTGTGGACATAAGTACTGGATCTGACACTGGGTCATGTTAATTTGCTCTGCCACAACCATCACCACTATCTCCAAATTAACCAAAAGTAAAACATAATATGCTTTAAAAAAAAGTTTAAAAATGGATAGACATATTATTTGTTCTGCTTTTAAACAGATATTTTATAGTATTAATAACTCTATTTGGCCCTGAAGATCCAGTGCATGAAAAGTGGTGCCACATAGCGTTTATGTGCCTTTGTTTAATAAGACAACACGTTTCAAGCTCTAATGTTAAACTTTCAGTACTTTTGAAACAAATGAGTCTTTAGGAAGGCTTTGTTTATATCTCTTAGTAGCATGAAAGAAATTATCTTTAAATTTATCTTGTTGACAGGGTTAGCTTTTATGGGGTTGGGAGGAGTTATGCTAAAATTGTACTATAAGAGTTCCTGTAACCTTGACAATTTTTCTACTAAAAGTTAAAGGATGTTTTGGGAGAATTTCACTTAAATCTTCTGTAAGGTTTCAGTTTTAGTTATTAAAATGTAGTTACTCTTATGCATGTAATTTAGGGAGAAAAACTTCTGAAAAGCAAGTTCTTATACCAGTGTTTTGAAGGCAGCATGAGGAATGCACACAGCTTGTATGTGCATTCAGGTTTGTTGGTTTTTTTATTTTTCCGATAGGTTTGGTGAGAGGGTTGATATTTAAAGAGAAAGTAGTTATGTTCCTAATAGCATCAAATAGAAAACACTATTTGAATTCTGATTTTTTTTTGGCATGTGTTGATTTCCTTTGTTCTTAGTGTGGGAAATTAAGTAGCAAGTATTGAATTACTTTTTTACTACTTCCAATTTCTCTAATTTCGACTTGATCCAAGAAAGCGTTAATTATATATTTAGTCCATTTTCCCATGCCCTCCCAGATCCTTCTGTTCCTTTTTAGCTTAATGAGGTAGGGAATAATATTTTTAAAATAATGGATTCTTTTGCTTAGATAATCTTAGTGATGTGTATTTTATTTGCTTGTGAGGAGAGAGCACTGAAGCAAGATAATTACTGGAAGGATATTGCTTGTAACTTTGAGCTCAGTTGACAGAATGTCTCAGATCTTTTCCCCAGAGCTATTAACTGTCATTTTATAATAAAAAATAAGATTTTTTTCTTTGCAGTTTGTGAATACCTTTTTGGACCTGGGGAATTTCTATCTGTATTATTAACTAGGAAACACAGGCCTGGCTTTCTAAAGAGCTTTTTATTTTTTTTTCCTGTTCTTTGCATAGTTGTTACTTCTGCTTTTATGAGTATTATTTCTTTCTCATCAATAGACTCATAAATTTAGAGCTGGAAAAATGTCTTCTATCTTGGATGTCTCAAGGCCAACCCCTTATTTTACCCATGAGGAGACTGAGGCCCAGAGAGGTGTAGTAACTTGCCTAAGGTCTAATAGGTAAACAGGGTCAGGATTTCAACCCAAATTCTCTGGTTTCAAATCCAGGCTTGCTACACAGCACTGCTAGGTTCATGGCATCCCACTTTATTAACTAGCACACTCTGATCTATACCTTTACTCTGTCTCATTCAAGCCCTTGATCTTATCATTTGTAACTGTTCTGTTCTAATTCCATGATCCAGAACTCTCAGATTCCTCCCTCTGATCATGCCTCTTCTCATTCTCTCTACCCTCTGCCTTATTCCTCCTAAATTTATTCTTCATTCTCACTATGACCTGTTACTGTACCCCCCTTTCCCAGGCCATCCTCACCTTCCTTTCCTCCTTTCCTAGTTTTGACCCTGTCATTGAAATTATTTAACTAGACACTGTTTTCTCTCTTTGAATCTCTTGTCCTTTGTTCTATTGTTTATACTTTCCCAAACCCCAATTTTGCTTATTCCTACCTTTCACTTTCTCTTCTCTTTTTATGTACTACTGAATGCTGTTTGAAGAAGTCATACAACCATGCTCTGAGGGTCAACTACCGATTTGTTGTCTCAACTGAACCTTCACTGCTAAATGGAAATTTCCATTTAGCAATCTCCAATGTCTCCATTGCATTCCCTACAGTGGCTTTTCCAAACCTTCTTAAGCCTTCGTGGCACTTTCTGCAAAGAATTTCACTTCCTACTTTATGGAGAAAATTGAAGCCGTCTGTTACTATGAGCTCCCTCTTTTCTTCCTGTTCCATACCTTCAAATCCTTCCACCTTGCATCCCATTCCTGCCTCTTTTGTGCTAGTCTCTGACAGATATCACCTTTTTTTTTTTTTTTTTGGCCAAGTTAAGCTTTTCAACTTATACTATTGATCCTATTTATTCTTCTCTCTTCCAGGAGTTGGTCACAGGGATTATATCTTTTCTCATTTTACTTTCTCCTTATATACTGGCCTCTATTCTTTTGTCTATAGATCTGCCTAGATCTCTTCTATCCTTTAAAAAAAAATTCACTTAACTTTGTTATCCACTAAAGGCCATCATCTTACCTCTTTTACCTTTCATGGTCATATTCTTAGAAAGCTGTCTGGACTTACTGTCTTCATTTCCTCATCTCCCATTTACCACTCAATTGAAATTGCTTTTCCCAAAATTATCAACAGTGCTTTAATTTCTAAATCTTATGGCCTTTTATTTCTTAAAAAAAGTTTTATCAATATTCTTTTCTTGTTAAAATATCATTGTCAATTCCTATTGACACTGTTCCTCCATCCTCCATCTTTCTGCCATGTACAACATTTGTGTGTAACAAATAATTGTAGTCAGGCAAAACAAATCAAAGCCGTGTTTTAGAATACATACTCATTTATTTATTTATTTATTTTTTTGGCAGTTGGGGTTAAGTGACTTGCCCAGGGTCACACAGCTAGTAAGTGTCAAGTGTTTGGTCTGAGGCCAGATTTGAACTCAGGTCCTCCTGACTTCAGGGCTGGTGCGCTATCCACTGTATCGCCTAGCTACCCCTAGGGTATATACTTTTTTCCAAACCTATAGTTTACTACCTCTGTGCTGAGATACTCTACCCTTTTCTCATTCCTCATCCTTTTTGAACTTTCTCCAGCTTTTGACACTATCAGCCACTTTTTTTTTGTTAAATTTTTATTTTTATGTAGAGAAAAATCAAATATACATTGAACCCAATTTGGTTGCAAGTTCCTTAGCTTTTGCCTATTCCAGCTTGGTAAGATGAGTCACTGATTTTGGAACATTGCCACCCCAGTGACGACGGATCTCATCATATCTGTCGTTGTAATTGGTTTTGATGGCTTCTACTAGCTTAGCCAGGGCTCCCTTATCTTCAGGGTTAACCTGTGTGAAGACAATGCTTGTGCAAGTCTTTCTGTGAACTGAGCAACCCAGTCTGGCTTTACCTTTGATAATACAGTAAGGAATCCCCATTTTTTGGCAGAAGGCAGGTAGGAAGACCACTAGCTCAGTGGGGTCCACATCATGTACAATCATCACCAACTAGGCTTTCTTGTTTTCTTCCAGCGTAGTAACAGTGTTAACACTTGCTCTGAGGACAGGTGGTCTCTTAGTGGGGACAGCTCCTTTGCCTGCAGCTTTTTGTTCAGCGAGCCAGCAGCCTTTGCTTCTTATCTCGCTTTGTGTCAGGTCTGTACTTGTGAGCCAGTTTAAGCAGTTGAGTAGCTGTCTGAGATCCAAAGCCTGGGTGAACTGGTTAATTGCTGGTGGCACTTTCAAACATTTATAAAGTATAGACCTTTGATGCTGCAGTCTGATGTACCGAAGCCATTTGATAAATTGAGTAAGGTCCCTTTAGGGCTGGGTGTCCTGATCAATGCCAAAGTTCTTTGACTGCTTCTCAAAGGATTGACCACTTTCTTGGCGTCCTGCTTCTTTACTACAGCAGGGGCTGGAGCCACCTTCTTCCCTTTGGCCTTCTTCCCCTTTGGCATCTTGGCCAGCTATCAGTCACTTCTTCTTCCTCAATAGTCTATCCTCCCTCATTTTCCATGTTTTTCTGGCTTTATTACTTGATTACTAGCCTGACTGTTCATTTTCAGTCTCCTTTGCTGGATCATAATAGATCTTCTTTCTTGTAAATGTGATATCTCAAAGTCTTTGTCCTGTTCCCTCCTCTTTCTTTATCTTTTCTTTTCATGATCCCATTACCTTTCCCCTGTACTCAGTCATTATTCCTATGCAGATAATGTCCCAAATTTATATATACAGCTTCAGACTCTCCTTTGAACCCCAGTTTCACATTAACAACTTCCTAGTAGAAACTTCTACCCATGTATCTTGTTGGTGTCTCAGACCTAATTCTATCTGGAATGGATATATAGTTATCCTTTCCACGTTGCGACTTTCTCCATTGTGGTTTCAGCATAAGAAATTAAATGGGAATTTTTTGGGAGTTTTGTAGAAGCCACAGATAACACACAAAGGCTAACAGACTACATGGAGCCTGTAACCAAATACTTAACCTAAATTACGATAAGGTACTGTAAACACCCCATTAAAGAAAAAGAAAAAATTGAGACTTCTTTTCTGGTACAAAGGGAGGGCCGAAAATTTTATGCCGATTTTCCAGAGAGCCCAGACAGCAGTATCCTAACCCTTGCATGTGGAAGAAATAACTGTATTCATCTCCCCTAAGTTTGCCCCTCCTCCAAACTTTACTTAAACTCATTCTTCAATAACTTGAGTTTACACTTTGAGATGCCCTTGAGGCTCCTTTCTCCTTCACCTCCCACATCTAATTAGAATCAACTTGTTGATTCTGTCTTGACCATATCTCTTGTAACCACCTATCCCCTTTTCTCCACTTAACACAGCCTCTTAGTTCAGTAGTTCATTGCCTTTTACGTGAATATTGCAATAGCTTCCCAGTTTGTATCCCTAACTCCAGTCTTTTCTATCTCTAATCCATTTTCCATACAGCCACTAAAATAAGATTCTTCTTCAGTCACAGGTCTAATTATATCACTGGCCCTGCTCAAAAATCTTTATCGGCTCTCTATTTCCTCTAAGATAAAATATGAACTCCATCTTGGCATTTAAAGACCTTCACAATTTGGCTCCACCTCAACTTTCCTCCTTTGTGAAAAAGGTCTAGACCCCATCCATATTTTTAAGCTCAGTGTTCCAAAACTGTGCTTTGGAAAAGAAACTCTAATCTGTGAAGGGATTTTCCCTAAAAATTTAGAGGAAGATTATCTACTTATGTGGCATGAATAAATTAGCATTTTTAATAACCGTTCTGTTAACATTCTCTAGAATAGTGGAATGTTTATTTGAAACAGCTCTACAAACTCTTGGACCTTTCGCCAGATGTGCCCTCTGTGGTCTCTACGTATTTGGTACAGTTGGAAATAATTTTTTTAAATATTAAAAAATGTTGGCTTCACAGGCCACTGACTGCATTTGACTTTCCTTATTCTTCAGCATGAGGCCAGAATAAGGTAAATATATATTAGGGATGATGGTGACTCCTTTCTCTGTTTGTTGGATTGTACATATGTAGCAACAGAAATAGGGCAGTTGATCCCCTTACAAGAACAGTTCATTTATTCTTTTTTTTTTTGAGAGGTAATTGGGGTTAAGTGACCTGCCCAGGGTCACTAGTAAGTGTCAATTGTCTGAGGCCAGATTTGAACTCCGATCCTTCTGATTCCAAGGCCGGTGTTCTGTCCACTGCGCCACCTACCTGTCCTCAGTTAATTTGTTCTTTAGAATATTTGACTGGAACAAATCTTACTAAATTTTATTTTGGAAAAAATAACATGCATAAAGTCCAAATTTTATAGCTTTTTAAATTTTTTTTTGTTTGGGAGACTGTTATGTGTCACTCTTCTGTATCATGAATGCCTTCTATGTGTGTGTAGTTTCTGTAATTTCACCTAGATTGATAAATTTTATAATATATTTACCATGAAGCACTTAGAAGCATGTTCATTTCCTGACTCCTTCAGAAGAGCATTTGAAAAAAAAACCTTGTATTTTTATTGAGGTTTCAATTTCCTGAACAATTAAACTGATAAAATAATAATAAATATTAACTATAGAATATTATGTAAGCTGAATTTCTTTTGCTTAGGTACAGCCAAAAGAAGAGGATCAGAAACCGTTAACTTCATCCAATCCAGTATTAGAACTAGAACTGGCAGAGGAAAAATTGCCCATGACTCTCTCAAGGCAAGAGGTAAGATTGGGTGTTAATTGGTAGTAAAATGTACATATGTTTTAGTATTCTTTTCTGTGCTTGTATTTATCTTAAGCTCACATCACCAGTTTGACTTTCAAGAATGGTGAATTTTTCAGCTGCAACAACTCTTGAAGACCCACTAAGTCATAGTAGGGTTGCAGTCTAGATTGGTAAAGGGGAGGGGAGGAATGATTATCAAAATTACAGGTCCTTAAGTATTTAAGATTAACTATTTAATTGGTTTTCCTTCTTGATACCATTGTCTGAACTCTTTCATATGAAAAGTGAATAGTCACAATTTTAGTCTCATTCTGAATTGAATACAGTTTTCCAATTTGTGTGTAAGTTGCTTGAATCCAAACATTTACAAAATCATATTCAAATGATAATAGTTCACATTTGTAAAACACCTTTTGATTTATAAAGCACTTTTCTTGCAATAACGCTGTGGGAATAGTTAGTTTAAGTATCAGTCCTATTTAGCAGCTGAAGAAATTGAAGTTCGGAAGAAAGTTAAATGACTTATCTCAGAATCAGAAAGCGATTAAGGATTGGGATCAGAACTTAAGACTTTTTGAGGCCAATACAGTGTTCTTTCCATTATACTAAATCAATATTTTATAGTTATTTTTCTGTCTACTCAGCTGCTCCTTTAACTCCTGTGCCTTTACCTATCTAATCTTCTGATATTCTTTTATGAATGCTTGTTTTATGTACTTTTGTATTTGTCCAACTATGTATGTGCATGTATGTATCTATATTGCTCTTTTTTTCTCAGACTTGAAAGAACCGAGTTCTACCTGCCTCCATAAAGCCTTATCTCCTATACTCTGACTCCAGTACTCTTACCTTATTAAATCAATGACACAGTCTTTTATTGACGGTTATAGTTCAGTTTTTTGATTGATGAACCATCATGTTTGTAGGAATTTAGTCGTTTTGTTTCCATATATCATTTTTTAGAAAATTGAAGTATCAGTTTGGCATAAAAATCAATTGCTCAGAGTTTCCCTCCCCATATAGGTGTCTTTAAGGTTTAATCATCATTATATTTATCATTTGGAAATCCACAAATCAAGCGGTACTGGATATTTGATAGAATGTAGAGGAAACTATAATACCTACCCTTAGGGAATGTAACTCAAGGATTTGGTATAGGGCTAGGGACCCGGAGTTTGGAGTTTAGGTGTGATGTATTACATTATATAATGTTTGTGTTCTAATTAGTGAAAGGAGCACTGAATAAGTAACTAGGGGCTCATGTACTGTAACTAATGTCCTGTGCATCCTTGGCTAACTTTGCTATTTAGTATTGAAATTTCTGTCTGCATGCAATTAGAATAATTGCAATATAATAGGACTGAAAGGAATCTGGAGGATTGTGGGTGAATATTTTTATTTTTAAATTAAACTTTGTTTTTTCAGTTATCAAGCCTTTGTCTTTCTTCCCTCAGATGAAATAAAAAGAAAACCCTTGTAACAAATATGCACAGTAATGGAAAACATTCTTATGTTGGCCATGTCAAAAAATATTTTATATATGTTTAGATCATCACTTCTCTTATCCAGGGGTTGATAGCTTGTTTCATTATGAATCCTTAGGAATTGTGGCTGATCATTGTGTTGATCAGAGTTTCTGTGCCTTTCAGAGTTGTCTGTCTTTTCACAGTATTGTGTTTTTTGTGTAAATTGTTCTCCTGGTTCTTTTAACTTCACTTTGCCTCAGTTCATACAGATCATCTGAAGTTTTTATGAAAACATCTTTCATCATTTCTTATAGCAAAATTTGTATTATATTTATTTATCATAATTTGCTCAGCCATTGTCCAGTTGACAGGCAACTCTTCAGTTTCCAGTTTATTGCCACTACAAAAAAGAATGGTTATAAATACTTTTATACAAATAGAACCTTTTCTATTGTATCTTTCTGGGGCATAGCCCTCTATGTATTGGTATCAACTGTAGTGGTATCAGTGGGTCAAAGCATATGCACAGTTTAATTATGTTTTGGGCATATTTCCAAATTGCTTTTCAGAAGGACTAGACCAAATCACACCTCCACGAACAGTGCATCAATGTCATGTTTTCCCTCAGCTTCTTTCACATTTGTCATTTTCCTTTTTTGTCAACTTTTCCAATCTTATAGCTGTGAGGTAGAATCTCAGAGTTGCTTGAATTTACATTTCTAATTATTCATAGTTTAGAATATAGCTATACCTGTGGACAGCTTGGATTTCGTCCCTTGAGATCTGCCTGATTGTGGGTAGTTCTTTATCATGCCTTTAAGGCAGAACCATCCACAAAGATGTGAACCTATCATTTAAAAATGATGTCTAGAAAAAAAAGATTATATAATTTTCCTTGGTGTTATGTGTTTAATTTAGCAACTTCTTTTTTAGGAAATTATTAATGATGAATAGTTATTTCCCACCTACTCAGATTTTATTTTTTCTTCACTTTGAAGGTGAAGAACAGATGGTTTAATTGTACTCCATATATTTGACCCAATCTAATATGTTTCTCCATGTTTGTTTTTGAGTTCAATTAATGCATTACAGTTTTTTGGGGGAAATATTTTATCCTGAATTTTGAACACCAACCAAAAGAGCATTCCTGTACACACAGTATAACACAAAAAAAGAGGATCCTATGTAAAATTGTTAATCTCCATTCCATGCTAGCTTTTTTCTTTAAAAATACATAATAAATTTCATATCTCACGTCCAAAACTGTGCTGCTTGTCTGTGCTTTTTTCTGAAATTCCTTTTGTTTTATGCATTTAAAAAAGTGTTACAATGGTGCTTTTTTTTTGGCCATTACTTTTGCTAGTTCTGTCCCACTCCACCCCAGACTTTTCCCCTCTCCCACTTAAGTAAAAGCCTAGAGAAAGGAAAAACCAAAAAATCTTCTTACAAATAAGCATATTCAAGCAAAATGAATCCTGATAGTGGCCAGGTCCAAAATATATGTCTTTTCTCCTTGGGTTCATCTCTTTCTTATGAGGAGATGGGTTACATGATGCTTTATTATAGGTCCTCTTGAGAAATGGTTGGTCATTGCATTAATCAGAGTTCTCAAGTCTTTCAAAGTTGTTTTTCTATACAATAGTGTTGTCCTTTGTTAGTTGTTCTCCTGCTCACTTCACTCTCTGTCAGTTCATACTACTCAGGCTTCTTTGTAACTCCCTCTTTTTCATTTCCTTTTCCCTTTTAGTTTCCCTGTCAGCATCTGAGAGTTTGTGTTACTTGTGGCCATTTCCTCTCCAATATTATCCTGCCTCTCGTATCCCCTTCCCCCATTCCTCTCTGTTTGTTGTATTTTTATTCAAAACGCGTGTGTGTGTGTGTGTGTGTGTGTGTGTGTGTGTGTGTGTGTGTGTTCAGCCCTCCTTTCTTCATTCCGTGTAGGACTGAGGTTGGTCTGATAGCTGCTCCCCCCCAACTCTTCCATATTTGTATACTCTTGTCAGACACTCCTGTTATGAGCAACAAGTTCTACCCCCTTCCTTTCTACCTTAACGTATTCTCTTTACCCTTTTAAAACCCTCGGAACAAAACCAATCAATCCTCAGGACCTTTGAATTCTTTATTAACTTCCTCATTGTCTTTTGAAGACACTAAGGTTCTGAAGACACACTTGTTTTCAGCACATTAGACTAGATCACCATATAGCCACTTCTAGTTGTTCAAATAAATTTACCTTTTTGGATTTCTCTGGACTCTTGTGTTTGCATTTCATAGTTCTTTTCATCAGAAATTCTTGAAAGTCTTTTATTCCATTAAAGATTCATTTCCCTACCCCCACCCCCACATAGAATTATATTCAGCTTTCAGGGTAGGTTATTTAGGGTTGTAAACTCGTCTGTTTTGCTTTTTAGAATATTATTTTGTAGGATCTCTTAATTTATATTGGAAACTGCTGGTCTTACGTGATTCTGGTGGTCATTCCTTGGTCTAGAGCTGTTTCTTTTGAATTAATACATAATAACTAAATAGTGTCAGTAATCTTGCACCTTGACCTGTGGTTATATCCTTTGGACCTCTGGCCATTGACCCTTCCCTAGGTTTGCTCTGTCCAGCTTTTCCCTGGCTTTTAATCTCCCAGATCATGACTGGGGAATTTGGCCCCAGACTTCTTCTACTTTTTACTTTTCTACTACCTACCCTCAGGTTATCTCTGTTCCTCATTCTAGCTCCGTATAAAGAGTGAGCTTTCTAACATTTAGTTTCCGAATAGTTAAGTAGATTAACTTTAAAAACAGAATAAAAATATTTAAGCAGAGACTGGGTCAGAAGTCAGGGATATGACCAATGAGATTGTTTCTCTTCAAGATTCTTTGATTTAGTGGATGCTACTCAGATGATGTTATACAGAGTTATAGTATTTCACAGCTAGAAAGGATGTTTAACATTATTTAGTACAATCATCCTTTTTATAAAGGAGCTTAAAGCCCAGGGAGATAATGACTTCCCAAGGCTGCTCAGGTAATAAAGTCCTATGACTCCAAATCCAGTCCTCTTTCCACCTTACCATATCACTTCTGCATCCCAATGTTTTCTTAAAATAAATTTTTATTGATGTCTTTTTTTACATCACACATTTACCAATATTTTTCTCCTTCACTCCCTTATGACAAAGAATAAAGAAGGAAAAAATCAGTTCAACAAAACTAAACAAACTGTCAAAGAAGTCTAACATGGAGAGTGTTCTACACTCATAGTGCCCCCTCTCCACAGAGAAGCTTGGAGTGGGAGGTAGGGGGAAAGGTCCTTTCTCATTTCTCCTCTTTGAGGCCAAGCTTGGTCATTATAATTTCACAGTATTCCATTTCAGTTGTCTTGTGTTTTTTCCTATTTACATTGTAATTGTATATTTCTTTCCTAGTTCTGCTTATTTCATTTTCTGTTGGTTCATATGATTTTCCCAAGCTTTTCTGTAGCCATCATATACCCTAATAGATTTTTTAAAATGTTTGGTTTTTTAAAAAGTGGTATTGATTTGATTATTCCTCATAATGGTTAGTAGTTCCACTAATACAATTTCTAGGGTTTTTTTTTTGTCAGTTTATCAAAGGTTCTTTATTTTTTCAACATGAGAACTCATTCCACTGAGTCAGATTGTTAACTGAGAACTACTTGAAGCCCATCAAGTATAAGGTTATAGTGCTGTGATGTGTCAGAGGCAAGATTTGGACCTAGGTCTTACTATCTCCAAGGCTAGTACTTTATTATGCTATACTGCTTTTCATATTAGTATTAATGTAGCATTAAAATGGAAAATAATTTAGCTTTGAAAAGACACTGTAAAGGAGGTCATTGTAGTGGACAGAGCATTTAGCTTGGAGATCAGGTATTCTTAGATTCCAGTAGCTGTGTGATCTGTGGCAAGTGCCTCAGCAACTCAATGAGAGAGGGGTTAGGATCTGTTGGTGGAGGCTGGGACTGAGAATCTTCTGCATAGTCACAGAGCCTTTACCTTTTCATATTTTTTTAAAAAGCTATGATTTTTTTTCCACCAAGATATCATGGTTTTTGAAGACATGAAATAAATGTATTTTTTTAATAGACATAATAAAATTTACTTCTTTTATACTTCTACAGCATGTTTAATTAAAAAATATATGGCAATTTAATTTTAGTAACAAGGGGACAGTCATATTCTTTCACCTTGTAGAATTTGCTAATGTAAAAGATGAGTTTGTTCAGGAATTGTATTTAAAAAGAATATTTAGCTCAGTAATAAGGTTGATAGTAATTATCTTAAAATGACCCTTTTTTCATTTTCGACACATTTCATACCTCTTTGGTTGTCTTAAAAATTATGATTTATAGTTAAGGATTTATCCTAAATTTGAATCATTTTAGCTTCCTTTTTCATTTTGTAGGATCTACGTAAGAAAAGATTTCATAAGTTTTTGAGCTAGAGTGATGTTTTAATAAAAAAAAAAAATCCAGTGAACATTTATTAAACACCTACTATTTTCCAGGCAATGCTATACTGTAGGTATATAATTAATAAAAAGAAAGACAGTCCCTGCCCTCAAGAAGCTTATAGTTTTTGGAGACCACACACCAAAGGAGGCAGGAAAGCTGGGAAGTGAGGGAGAGAACACCAAAAGGGCATCTTATCTTGTTCAGTGGAGTTGACCAGGCAGGAAGGCAGATGCAAAATGGAATGAGTTGAGAGTCCAGTTTCTGCTCTCTGTGAAGGAGGGGTTTGGTACTCTGCCCGCCAGGCCTCCAGTCTGAGGGGAGAGGAGGCAGAAGTAGGTGGTGTCAGTCAAGGCTTGATAAGCAGCGTGATGGTGAGTCTGGAAGTGAGGAGCTTATCCTGGGAGGGGCATCTTGTTCCATGGAGTTGAAACCTGTCAAAGCAGCAGGTGCAAAGTGAAGTTGAAAAAATACCTTGACTACTTCATATTTAGTTTAGAATATTTAAATTAGCCTTCTTCATTTTAGATTTTATTTTTAAAATGAAAAGAATTTGCTTAATTTATTATTATTGTCATCATCTCATGTTTACTTTTTTCATGCAGTTCAGACAGAAAGTCCTGTGACAAGTCACTATCCCTGCTCTTATTCCTTTATATTCAAACTTGTATGGATCATTACATAAGTGTGTAAAAGAACTGCTTTTTGTTTTGAGTAAAAGTATTAGGATATAACTCATTCTCTTTAGGCTCACTGAAAGCATCTTCAGTGCCATCTTGGTAGCAGACAGGACAGCAGGAATTAGGCTTCTTGCTCTGGTCCACATGATTTTACCTCCTTAGAAAAGTCTCTACCTGGAAAACTTTTTGTTTCATATTGCGTGGAGATCATGAATATTGAGGGTGGTGACATCTCTTAAAAATATTGTTCACAAATTTTTATGAATCAGTGTTATGTCAGGGTAATTGTGAGTAATATTTTGGTCTATGCCTATGGTACCTAAGTGGTACAATGGTTAGAGCACCAAGTCTGGAGTCAGGAAGACCCGAGTTCAAGTCTGGTATTAGACACTTACTAGCTGTGTGACCCTGGGCAGTCATTTAACCCTGTTTGCCTCAGTTCCTCATCTGTAAAATGAGCTGGAGAAGGAAATGGCAAACCATTCCAGTATTTTTGCCAAGAAAACCCCAAATGGGGTCATTGAGAGTCAGACACAACTAAAATGACTGAACGGTGGTCTAGTTCAGGACAATTTATTGGTAGAATCCCCAGAATATAATGTCTGTATTTATAATGTGGAAAGGTTTGCCAGCTTATCAAAGATTATGAGGTGAGTAATTTTGGGCATTGGGTTATATGTTCCTAGGTATTTGGTAGGTGCTATGTTTTTACAATCTGCAAAAATGTGTTGCACTTCACTTCAGTGCTTCCTTGTAGCATTATTATTTATTACTGTTATTTTTTTTGGACTGGATCTATTATTTCATCCATAAAAGAACTTCTTAGTAAGGAAAATCCTACCAAGGCAGATTGCCAACTGTTCCTTCACTTAGAACCTTAAAAGAGTTGCCTGGGCCAGTGAGAACTGAAGCAACTTGCTCCAGGCTGCACAGCTAGTATCTGTTAGAGGCAGGACTTGAACCCAGATTTTCCTGAGTCCAAGGCCAATGCTGTGTTCACTACACCAGAGCCGAACATTATTAAACATTTTTTATTTAAAATAGGAAAAATGCAGTTTAGACAAGTTTGGCTTAAGGATTTATACCCTTGTCTTAAAAACTTGAATAATTTATTAAACTTTAGGGTTTTTTTTTCTCTTTTTTGCCCTTTTTTTTAGGTCATTAGGCGATTGAGGGAAAGGGGAGAACCAGTTAGATTGTTTGGAGAAACGGATTATGATGCATTTCAGCGTTTAAGAAAGATTGAGATTCTCACACCGGAGGTTAACAAGGTAAGTTGATAGATGAGAACCAAATAAATACTAATTTTCCATGTATAAATAATGGGTTGTGTGAACAGAGTAAAGCAATGTGTAGAGTGTATAAAACTTCATTTTCATATATATTAGATATACTGATCGCCAAGTCATTGCTGGCAAATTCAATTTTGATCATGGCAGTGGCTCTTAGAATGTCATCAGAATATTTCTCTGGCCCTAGCTGTGCTCCATAGACAGCTCTAGAGCATCACAGTGAAGTTTTCTTTTTTGTCTCTGCCATGTTCTCAGGTGCATCTGATCCTTTGATAGCAGGACAGGATGCCTGTTATTTACTTACCACTATTCTACTTTTGCAAAAGGACGGTACAGTGGAAGTGGATGCCTTCACATATTCTCTATAACTCTCTGATTTTAGGGGATAAGTTTAGTGCATATGTAGGGTAATGTATATTGTCTACCAAGTAGAATTAAAAGGGACCTTAGAAAATATGTTACCCAACGTCTTAGCTGCCCTCTATAGCATCTTAATATCCAGCTTAAAGCTAGATGAGTTTCTTGTTTTTATTTTTTGACTGTTTTAACTATTAGAAAAATTTTTCCTTAAATTGAGCTAAAATTTCCTTTTCTCTTAGTCATTTGTTATAGTTCTGTCTTAGTTACATAGAATAAATTTAATCTTTATTCTGAATACCAACGTTTTCAAGTCTTTGAAGACAACTCTTATTTCTTGTAAGTCCTCCCCACCTTGCAACATATACACAGACACATGCTCTTACTTATTTCTTTTCCAGGCTAAAAACCCCCAGCCCTTTTAACCATTTTTCACATGACATACTTTACAGACTTGTCATCACTCTGGTTATTCTTCTCTAGTTTGCCAGTGTACCTTTTAAAATGTCCTAGAACCAAACACAGTGGTGGGCTGACTAGTGCAGAATACCGTGAGACTATTTACCTTATTATGGATGTCTTCTTTCCAGGTTGATAGCAGTTCACTAAATATAGTGATACTCCTTTCCTAAGTTTTTTCAACCAGATAGAAATGCACCTACTGTTCTATCATCTAGTTCAACTTTTCTCCACAAGAATATGCTAAAATCTAACACTCTTTCATAGTTGGGTACTTAGAGTAGAGCTCTGTGATATCCAAGAGAATGGGTCTGCGTGTTTTATGATGGACGAGCAAGGAATTTGTTTTGAAAGGAGAAAAGAGATTTGGAAAAATTGAGGAGAGGACAGCCTATGTGTCATGTTGCCTGTCATTTTAGATGTAGTCCCTGGGTTGAGAGAAGGTGCTCTGTTGGGTCAAGGTAGGGGCCTGAAAAATGACTGGTGTAAAAAAACACAAGGTATATCAAATTTAATGTAGAAAATGTGTGAGAAGGCTTAACCAGTAGAGACTTTGGGTCTCTATTCCTTGAGAGATTTCTGTAGATTTGATCATGAAGATGATCTCGAAGATGATTGCTTAGATTTTAGCTCTCATGATACTTTTCTTTGTCCAGTCATCAAGTTGACATTAGCATAAACTTCTCCTACCAAAAATTGTGCATCTGTATTGACTAGCTATTCCTTCAATTCCAGATATGCTTAGAAAAGTTAATCCTGAAGACAATGATAACTGTTATAACATGTTTGATTCTTATTTGAATCACTTTCTTCAGTTTAGTATGTTCAGACTTTTAATCCTTTCTCTCTCTCTCTTTTTGTTTTGTTTTGTTTTGTTTGTTTGTTTTTTTGGTAAGGCAATTGGGTTTAAGTGACTTGCCCAGGGTCACACAGCTATGAATCCTTTCTCTTATATTCGTTTTAAAAAAATCTGCACAGAATTTGTAGTTGCTGGTGTGGTTTAATTAACCTAATTAAAATCACTTACCTGATGTAACTAATAAAAACTAAAGGTGAAACTTCCGTGGTGAATTTAGTGTTAATGACATTTTCCTTTTCACTATTCCTAGGGTTTGAGGAATGACTTGAAGGCAGCTTTGGATAAGATTGATCAACAATACCTTAATGAAATTGTTGGTGGTCAGGAACCTGGAGAAGAGGACACACAGAATGATCTGAAAGTCCATGAAGAAAACACCACTATTGAAGAATTAGAGGTGATATCTGTAAAAACCAGTGAAATTGAATTGTTCTGTACCAATTATTTATTCACAAGACATATGTCTCCTTTTAAAACTCAGTAATTTCGTTGTTCCAGAAGTATAAATTTTAAAGAGTTGTTTTTCTTATTCGTTTAATAACTACTGTGGTACTGTGTAGGTCTAGGAGATGTGCCAGTGTTGAAATGACTTCTCAGTAAGCGTTTTTCTTATGAAGCTATACATAGCATGAAAATTTGAAATGGTGTGTGTCTAAAAACCAGCTTTGTATGTGTGTGTGTATTTTAAGCATATTTTGTTTTAAAAATTTTTAGTAGAAAAGTCTTTTCTACTTATTTTGAAATTCTGTCAGATTTGAAAACTGAAACAATGTTGAACAGATGTATTAATTTAAAGCGAACTTCATGTTTTTCTCATATTTTAGACTATATATATATAAACTCTGCATTTTACTCTCTACTAAAAGTTAGGAGCACTTTTATTTTCTTCCCTTAGGCATTGGGAGAGTCCTTAGGAAAGGGGGATGATCATAAAGACATGGACATCATAACCAAATTTCTTAAGGTAATATTCTTTTGTGCTTACAGATTGGTAACACTTTGGTGGTCTGAGAACTCTCCTTATGTTTTCGGGTCATCAGGTTTTTAAGATTTAGGAGGAAAATAGTCATCTATAAAAATAATAGCTGACTTTTATATAGTGTTTTCAGGTTTACAAAATGATTAATTATCTCACTTTATTTTCAAGTCAGCCTTGTTAGGTGGTATTATTTCCCTTTTACAGATGAGGAAACAAGGATGCAGAATGCTATTTTCATCCAACAGTATGCATGCCTTTTTTCCCTAAGTTTTTTTAATATTATTGTAGAGGGAATCTCTTTTTCTCTTTAAATTGGAAAGAATATAGGAGAAGAAATTTTGACTGAGAATTCAATTCAATAAACATTTGTTTTCTTTTTGTTCAGTCATTCAGTTGTCTACTGACACATGGAGTCACGTGACCCCATGAACAAAGACTATGTGGTTTTCTTGGCAAAGATAATGGAGTGGTTTGCCATTTCCTTCTCCAGTGTGTACCCATTTTACAGATGATGAACTGAAGCAAATAAGGATTACATGACTTGCCCAGGGTCACACAGCTAGGAAATATCTGAGGTCATATTTGAACTCAGGTATTCCTGACTCCAGCCTCGGCACTCCAGCCACTGCCCCTTAAAAATATATTAAGCCCCTACTTTGTGCTAGGCTTGGAATCATGTGGAAGAAAGGTGATTGTATGGAGGAAATGCTAAGGTAGAAGGAAGTAGAAAGATAAGTTAGTAAAAGGATATATATACCACATGTGTGTGTTTATGTATGTATATCTATATATGTATATGTATATATGTATGTGTATGTTCACAAACACATACACACATTATCAATAAATCTTTAGGGCTTGTGCGTGTTTCTCCGTTACTCTGGCTTTGCTGATCCCTTTGGAGAGAATTATACCATTAAATGAATGTTTTCTGATAATCTCCATACCAGTTTTATCTTTAGCCTTCCCAAGGAATTTGGAAGGATTCTGGATGCTATTATGTTTAAATCCTAAAAACACTTTTGTTAAGATTTAAATGAAATATCTTAACATTATTTTGAATGCAACTGAAGACAGAGCATGTGTATATATTTGTCAAAAATCAATAATATCTGTTTCATTTGGTCACTTTTGCTCTAACCTAACCTAGAATTTGCTCTTGGAGTTGGTGACATCTTTGGCAGTGTCACTACAAGGATTTGGTCATGTCAGCTCTTGCTGTTGATGTACCCCTATGTGAGCTTTTTCTACTGTAGCTGGTGCTGAGGTGCTTAGAGGCGTTAGTTGGAAATTTTGAGGAAAGAGATGGAGAAGAAAGATTACAATTGTATGATCACCATTTTTTGCTCTTTTTCTTCTGCAGTTGATATAGGGTTATACCTTTATTCCACTAATCGTTTAATGCTAAAATGTCCATGGTGTCATAAGCATTAAGTGATCACATATTAATTGAACATCAGTCATGATCATGATACTGTGGAAGACACTTTGTAAATCCATAACTTTGTGGTAGAAGTATGGTAGAAATATAAAATTGATTTTTTTAAGGAGCGGGGAAATATTATTTTAAGAAGTTTACGAGTTTGCTGAGTAGTATAAAATATATAAAGTGAAAAAAGAATAGAGTATTTTGAGAAATACTGTATTTGATGATCCTCCAGTAAAATTCTTTGCTATTTTATGGCGTGGAAGTGGCGGTGGGCTCTTAAAGGCTATTTTAGAGGAGCTTCAGCTCTGGCAAATTCTTCAAGGCCCTGCAGGCTTCGAGTATTGATCTAAGAAAGGATTGGAGGTTAATTGGAGAGCTAACTTGATTAAATTTTAGAGTCTAATCGCCAGGCCGGTTTCATTTTGATGAATATTTTTGGCCATCATACCCCTTGAACACCATCTTCTCCTAGCTAACAATTATTTAGTCCACTACCTCCACTGCCTCATTTGAGCCTCATTTGTAATACAAAACTCAGAAGGATTATTTTTATTGTTAGCCCCATCACCTCATACCTAGACAGCAGTCTTCTGGTTGATCTCTCTGTCTCCTGTCTCTTCCCACTGGACTCCATTGTTCACTAAGCTTTCAAAGTGAACTTCTGAAGTGTAGGTATGGCCATGTTGGGCCCCGCTTTCCTCACTCCCCATCCTGTTTGACTTTTAAAGCTCTTCATACAATCTAGTCCTTTCTTACCATTCCAATCTTCTTATTAAGTTACTCCCTTCTCCTTACTCTATGATCCAGTGACACTGGCTCTCCTTGGTCTTCCTGGAATGAGATGTTCCATCTCTCAGCACATTTTTACTGGCTGCCCCCGTGCCTGGAATTCTCTCCCTCCTCACTACCACCTCCTTCCTCACTTTCCCTGGCTTCCTTCAGGTGTTAGCTAAAATCTCACCATCTGCAAGAAGCTTCTCCTGTTCCCTTTCAGAGCTAATTCATTCCCTCCAAGGTTACCTCTAGTTTATCCTATATACAGCTTGCTTGAACATAGCTGTTTGCATGTTGTTTTCTCCGTTAGATTGCGAGCTCCTTGAAGGCAGGAGCAGTATTTGCTTTTCTTTGTGTCCCTGGCACTTAGCACAATGTCTGGTACATAGTAAACGCTTAATTAGTGCTTGTTGGTTGGCTGAACTCTGATATTGTGTCTTTGCCCATGGTCCCATTGCTAGCGTCAGAGACATGAGCCCAGCCTTGTAGCATGTTGTTGGCTCTCCCAGACTACTTCTTTGAAGGCACAGGAAAGTTGCAATCTTCATCAGTGGAGAGAATACCCACACTAATGACAACACAGGTCATCAAAGCATGCTTCATCATGGTGGCGTTGTAAGTAGTTGAGTGGGTACTAAAATATTAATAAAATATAGTTACTAAAAATTAATGCTCTTAATTTCTTGTATCTTGTATGTATTTCATGTCTTTGACCGGTAGGTGGCAATGTGGTATAAATCTACCCATTCTCTTTACAGTTTCTCCTTGGAGTTTGGGCTAAAGAACTCAATGCCAGAGAAGATTATGTAAAACGCAGTGTGCAGGGCAAACTGAACAGTGCCACTCAAAAGCAGACGGAATCATATTTGAGACCGCTTTTCAGAAAACTACGAAAAAGGGTAAGAGACATCTATTAATAGTACTTCTGTTTGCTGATGTTTGGTAGAACTCAGATTTTCTTTTTTCAGAATAAATGTTCTTTCTTAGGACACTGAATGGATTCCCAAATTAATAACCTTATTTTTTTCTTTTCAGACTCTACCTGCCGACATTAAAGAATCAATAACAGACATTATTAAATTCATGTTGCAGAGAGAATATGTGAAGGTATGAAAGATAGATACCTCATGCTGGGGATTGAAATTGTGACTGGCAGCATGTCTAGATTAGGTACTTCACAGCATTCATTTCACTTAGGATTAGGGGGAATCTTTATGAAATAACTGGCATAGATTTGAAAATCAGCTGGTCACACTTAAAAGTCAGCTCTCCAACTTTGCTGCCCACAATGATGTTTTGGCCTAGCTGTCTCTGCTGGCCACTGCCCAGACTTGGGACATCACCTCCCATTTATGTGCACTTGCACAAGTCATCTTGCATGCTAACAATGTCACACTCCTTCAGGACCTGGCTCGGATGCCAGAGGTACATCTCAACTATTAATGATTTTTTTCTGGTTAAATTGTTCCTTGTATTCTTTTTTGTGTGTGCATGTTCCACACCTTCACTCTCATAAAAAGGGAACATTTTCAAGGGCAGGGGCTGTTTTGTTTGTAAAGTGCCTTTCATGTAGTAGGTGCTTAATAAGTGTTTGTTGAATTGAATTGATATCTAATATAAAGATGGGGAGAAATTGATTGATAAAGCTTGATATGAACGAAGACTGAAATCTTAGCTGTGGTATTCTTCCTTTGAAAAAAATCAGGCAGCATTTCTGAGTATTTTTGAGTCTATGAACTGTATACAAACATACAGTAAACAGGTTACATTTTGAAAGTTTGTTCTTAAGTCAATAATTTGAAATTGGAAACATTTTTCACATAGCAACAGTGCTATGAATGTTAGTAATCTCCAGCCCAGTCCACAAATGCCTACTTAATGTTGAATTACTGGTATGATTGTACTAGAGTACTTAATCATTATTTATTGCATGTTTCTATGTGAAGTAATTTTCAAATTCCATCTGAGGATTCCAGGACCACAATCTCCCACACTATAGTTCCATAGACCAGAGCACTTTTTTTTTTTTGTCAGTTCAGTAAGCATTTATTAAACACTGTGTGTAAGACCATCTTCTGCCCTCTACACACTGATCTGCCTTCCTCCAAGAATCCAACAGATTTGGAGTTTGTGAGAGGACTTTGATATTCTAGGGTCCCTGGGATAGGGAGTGTGGATCTGTTAATTCACATGAACATATATGAAGACCTATGATAAATTACTGAATAACTTAAATGATGCATGCCTTTTCTAAGCCATATTATTTTTAATTATTTAATGGAAAATGTGTGGCTTTTCATCTTACAGACTTTTCCCATTATCAAATACCAAGAATTTGGTATCTGATTACTTGGTTAACTTTGTATTTACTTCATAAAAGCAAAGAGCCTAATTTGAACATTTAAACTAGTTTGTTTTGTAGTCTGCTGAAACATAAGTATTGAAATTTCCATCAGTTGACCTCCATTGTTGAAATTATACATGTGAGTACCTGTGATAAAGTGCTGCGTTATTTAAGAAAACATCCATGTCCTATTTTAAGCTTCATAAAACCTGTTTACCTAGAGCAAGTTTAACTATTTTTATTCTGACAAAATCATTTTCTATAAAATGAGCTCTGAGTTTTACCCTATTTGTGGCAACTGGTTTGCTACATTTGGCATATTAAAAAAAAAACAAACAACCTTATGGTGAACTTAATCACTAAGAAACAAATGCAAGAAACAAACTTGTATAAAAAACAATTTTTGTTATATATAGTTTATAGATATAATATGCATATTTAATTTATGTATTTAACATGGATACATAGTGTGAGTGTGTGTATGTAGCATCCATATTAAATTTAGCAATGTAGTAATTGCTGTCTTTGCCAATCTTCTCTTCTGCACTTTCTGTTTTTTTTTTTTCTCTGCATTTTAAATCTAGCAGATTTTGAGCCTTTAAAAATTTTGAATTGGACCTATGACTTCATTGATATAGGGAATTGCCCATGAAGAAGCTCCCTCTGGCAACATGAATGGGCAGTTGCTTTGCAGCTGAGTGGCCAAGTGACTTTCCTAAGGTCATTTTGACCCAGGTCTTCTTGACTTTAAACTTGACTCTCTGTCTTTCATGCTACCCTGCCTCTCACGTGTAGTTAAGATTCTTTTGAGGTTTAGTTATATAAGCTTTTCGAAAACTGGCAAGGTCAGATATTTAAGATTTGCTTCTCTGCTTTCTGGCTTGTGTTTTTTCCTTCACAGACGGCTAGAAGTGTTTTACCTCCAAGCATGCTCCCACCCCACTCCCAAAAAATGGGGAGAAATTCTACCTCTTGTTAATTGATCATTTTCTTCAATTTAGATAAGATTTGTTTTTAGGGTTTTGGAAGTATAGGGCTTTTGAGAGACCAAAATGAAGCCAATTCAGTACTTAGGAATTTTATTGCTGGGCCTCTATCTTTACCTACTTGTTAGGAACTTCATCCTATGCATAAAACACTCACAGGTTTCATTGGAAATTCCATGCAGGGAACAGCTACATCTTCAAGTCGGATTAGGAAAAACTAATTGGATGCTGTATCCCTGTATAACCACCTGTAGAGGAAATAGTTCTTGAAGAGACTTAAATTAGAATATCTAGCAGTGCATTAAATTGCCTCTTTCATTCCAGATATGAAAAGGACATTAAACTCCATAGCAAAAAACAATGCAAAGAAGTATTCATCTTGTATACATAAACACTTGTCCAATTTCCATTTTTACCATTGATTGTTGCCTTGAGCAAGTTCTGTAATCATTCTAAACCAAAACTAAAGCATATGTGATAACAATATTTTATATATTTATACACATGCACAGAGAATAGCATAAACCATTTAAATAATTGTATCTAAAATGTTATTAAATCATTGAAAAATTAGTAACTACACAAAATGTTTAGCCTTTCTTTTCTCACTAAAAACTCAATTCTTTATAGGCCAATGATGCTTATCTTCAGATGGCCATTGGAAATGCTCCGTGGCCTATTGGGGTCACTATGGTTGGTATCCATGCCAGAACTGGTCGAGAAAAGATTTTTTCCAAGCATGTTGCACATGTTCTAAATGATGAGACACAAAGAAAATATATTCAGGTAAGCAATTTGTGAGGAAGAAGTTGCAAAAGCTTTGTTTTAATATTTAGATATTCTAAAAAATAAAATTTTATAAGGAAAATATTTAGATAGCAAGTGGCAAATTGTGATGGTTGTACTTAATATATTGCAGTTGAATTAATGGTAAACAGGAATTACCAACTCATTTTCCTTCAACTGTTTAGAATTTCACATGCTATATTTTAGTTACATTAACACTGAAATTATTTCAGTTAGGTTTTTTTTTTTAGGTATGCTGTCCACTAAGTTTGAATTATTGAGTACTGAAATATATGTTGTGCTGTCTATCTGTTTAGAATGTGAGCTCGAGGCAGCAAGGTGGTGCAGTGCATAGAGCTGCAGTCTTGGAGTCAGGAGGACCTGAGTTCAAATCCTACCTTAGACACTTGACACTTACTAGCTGTGTGACCCTGGGCAGGTCACTTAACCCCAATTGGCTCACAAAAAAAAAAAAAAGAATGTGAGCTCCTTCAAAACAAGGACTTTGTTCCTTTTCTATTTGTATCCTTAGTGCTTGGCATAGTACTTTGCAAATGATAATCCCTTAATAAATTCTTTTTTATTTATTCATTCATTTATATATGTGTATATATACATATATATGTGTATACACACACATATACGCACACACATATATACACACATACATGTACATGTACACATATGTATACATGTTACTGAATAAAACCTCATTAATTCAAACCCAAGAGGAAGAAGACCAGACTGAATTACTGAAGAATCTAAATTTTCAAATTATTATAATTTAAAATAGGCCTAAAATAGTACATAATAGAGATCCAGGTAAATATGAGAAGTATTAGCAAGCAATATACAGTCATATATTCCTTATTTTTAATTCAATTTTTTCAATATAATATTCAATTAATAATTAATGTATTTATATAGCACTTTAAGGTTTGCAAAAGCACTTTATAAATATGATATTTTATCCTCACAACAACCTGGGGAGGTAGGTACTGCTATTATCATCCCCATTTTATGGATGAGGAAACACAGGCATTCAGAAATTTAGTCACTTGCCTCAGGGTCACACAACTAATAAGTGAAGCCAGATTGAAATTCAGGTTTTACTGACTCCTGGTCCAGCGCTCTATCTACTCTTAGCTGCAGAACATAGGCAAAAATCTAGTTTCTTTTGCACTACTTCCTTCATTGGAAAAAAAGAAAAACCAGCCCCCTTTTATAAAAATGTGTAGTTAAGCAAAATAAATTCCAATATTCTCTACATCCAAATAAGACCTGTCTCATTCTTTAACCAGTCAGTGTCCATGAATTCTTGGGAGATTGATAAGCACGTTCATACCATATCTGTTTAATTGCAACAGGGGAGCTATGAAGTTTATTTTAGAGTTTAGGGTTTAGAAAATACGTTTAGAGACCACCTAGTCTTCACAGATGGAGAAACTGAGGTCCAGAACAATGAACTGAAACTTGCCTGGGGTCATCCAGTAATGGAGCCGAGTTGAGTTCAGCTTCTCTGACTTCAAATCCAGTTATTGTCATGATTACACAGCTGTTTGAAAATTATTTGTTCCCTTAAATGTGAGCATATTCCTACATGCTCTTATTTATACTTCTAATTTGCTCAACAAAACTTTCTCAGTGAAAAAGTAAATTATAGCTTCTTTTCAAATTCCAAATTAGGTTTGAATTAATGATGCTTTACTGTACATTATTGCTAATGACAAAAGGTAGGTTAGGTGATGCCTAAAATGGGGTATTGACTTTATGAACTATTTTTCTGTTTAGAATTCAATTTAAATGCTGAATATTCATTTGCTTGCCATATTTTGTGCCTTGAGCACCTCTGTATTTCAAAGTATTGATTTATTTTAACTCTGTGGGCATGAATCATAGGACTTAAGAAATTTAAATATACCTGTGGAAATAAAGGCACATATTTAGTGCAGAAGGGTAGTAACTTTGGTGACCACAAAAATTTTTACTTAAAAGTATAATTGCTCAACTTTGATAATTGAAATATAAATAGAATAACTTTCACATTTAAATGTATATTTAAATATTTGATGAGGTATTATATTTAATAACATTATATTGGTATTATGATACTAGATATTTAAATATTATTAAATATTTCAGTGTATCATATATTTATACATTGTACACGTAGTTTAGCTATTTCTAAGGCTCCATTAGTATTGAGCCCATCTCCACCATAGTTTTTCACGCTGTATGATTCTTTTTCATGATTCTTTAAAAAGTATAAATAATGTCCAGATGTTATTATACAATAATATTATATAATAATATAAATGTTTTCTTGTTTTGGAAGATTGCCAATGTCTTCTAGAAGCTGTGTGGTATGAAAAACTGTCCTTCTTTTCTATTTTTGAAAAATCTCTTATTTCATGTAACTTTTTTCCCCCTTTTCCAATCTCTTCCTTCCATGGGGCTTCCCAGGGATGTTGCTCATGCCCTAGTGCTACTCAGGGCAAGATAAATTGCTGATTTCGGTTAGAATTTTGTAAAATGTCTCATTAAGTTTAATATAATTTAAATGCTAAAGCTTCTTGCTCTATGTTGTGCTTTTAACTTTGATGCAGAGGGTCAAGCTAGGAGCAGTGGGTAGAAGGTGCAGATGTAATTTTTGGCTTGATGTTTAAGAAACCTTTCTAACAATTAGGGCTGTCCAAACATGAAATGGACGACCCCTCGCTGGAAAGGATTCCTGCCTCACTGGTGGTCTTTAAATAAAGAATAAAGGACTACATGTTGGCTTTATTTTAGATGAGATTTTTGCTTAAGTATGAATTGAAGTTGGATGACCTCTGAGCTCCTTTCTAACTTTAGGATACTGTGATTTTTCTAATCTTTTCCAGCATCACTTTAGTGTTTATATAATATTTTGTTTAACCATAAACCTGTACCCTAATAACAATTGATTAATTTTATCAAGCCATTCATTTAAATGACTGATTACCTTCAAACATCCATAGAACATGTTATATATACCTGAAAGTTATTTATATAGAAATAAATTAATTTCCACATATAAAGGGCCCACAGCTTATTAGTTACAATATCCTCAGGACCAATTTAAATGCTTAATACTTAAGACAGAATTAATATATTAGTCCTGCTATACATTAGAAAATAACCATGAATGCCATATATTTGAAGGATTAGCATTTGCTTAAAAAATGAGAATGAAAACCTTTTGTTTTATGAAATATAGTGTAAAACATCTAATAGGACTATTGGGCCTTATTAAAGAAGTCTTTTCAGCTCTTGGTCATATTCAGGCCTCTATTGAATTTAACTGCAAAAGATGTTCTAACTCTTTCTTTTCTTTTTTTTTTCTTCTTTAATCTTTTTTATTTTATATATATTTTTTGTATTTTTGATCTTTTTTCTTTATTTTTATCTTTTTTCAATTTTAGACAAATACTAAAATTTACATAATAGGAAGGTACATATCATAAACTTAAATATTAAACAAGAAAAAAAACCATGTCATATGCACAGCAGAACGTAGGAGAGGATTCAGAATATAAAGCCATTTCAAGAAAGCCTATATATTAAATACTGCAAAACTCTTCCTTTCTCAAAAAATTAAATTCACCATAAGAATTTATTTTACTACTATTTAGAGCAAATAAATAAGATATAGATAGCTATTAACTATTCATAAGCCCAGAACTAGCTTTATAATGATTCCAGTTAGAATTTTGTAGTTTCAGCTAAAATCTTGCAATGGTACTTCCAGGGACTTTGTTCATCTTGCCAAACAAAACTTTCCTTTATTTTTCAGAATTCTATTAAAAATTACTTTACACACATTATAATCAACTTTTGTGTTTCAGAGACTGACTATAAATTAGGTTTGTGTTTTTCAGTCATTCAGGCTTTTCCTTTTATTTTCTCTTTGCCATTGACCTGCATTTGAGGTGTTACCTTTGCATTAGACCCTCATAGGTAAGCAGGAAAAAGGGGAGATGTTAAAATTGACTTTAAATCCTGTGAATATGTGAATACTTAAAATATTGTGAAGTCAATTTCAACCTCAATCTTTTTTTTCCTACTTAACTCTTGGGGTACTGGGAGGCATTCTGGGGTAGTAGAAAGAACACTGAAACTGTAGGGAGAAGAACCGAATTCAAATCCTGGCTCTGCCACATATTATTTATGTGACATTGGACAAGTCATTTTATCATATGTAAGATGAGGATGTTGGACTAGATCTCTAATATTTTTTGTAGCCTTCAGTCTTTGATGCTGTGATCCTGAAAATTAAGTAAGTGTATTTCGTAGCAACTTTGATAAAAACTTATATTAAAAAAACCCAAAATTGATAGCTAAAATAAATATTTTAGATTAAGAATTTATTGATAATTTCACGTTAGAATAGATAACTGGAAGTTCACTACAAATTCATTTTTTGCACTATACCAAGATAACAACAAATCATATAGAAAATATTCAGTCTGATTCTTTAATATTCATTAACAAAAGACAAAGAAATCAACAAGTTTACTTTTAGCACGGTAAGATTTCTATGACCTTAAGTCTTTGCATTCCAAAATAAAGAAGTCATTCTAGCATTTTGTGACAGGTGTTTCCCGTCCATATTTCAGGTTTTGGCATATTCTCTCTGGATTATGCCAATATCTCTGTTAGTCACACTTAGAGAAAAGGTGAGTTGCCAGTTCACTTTGGAATACTACATGAGTAATTATAGTCTTGTCACTAAGCACCAAACTTTTTCTAACCCACGTAAGTGGTGACAGGGGGAGAGGAATCAGACCACTCTCTATCCCATTGCAAAACCTTAGTGAATTAAATCTATGGTCATTTGGGCAAAACTATATCTTCACCTTAGCTAAGTAGGTGAGTTCTTTTGCTCAAATTGAATGTTCTTATGCTGCTTCATTGAGGGAAGTGATTAACTTATTTTTATTTTTTTCTCAATTACATGAAAAAAAATTTTTTAACATTCT